AATGTGTGTATATCTATTCAGTTTTAAGGGTACAGTTAAGTATCTTTAGTGTGAATTAATGTATGTATCTATTCAGTTTTAAGGGTACAGGTAAGTATCTTTATTGTGAATTAATGTGTGTATATCTATTCAGTTTTAAGGTATAGGTAAGACTGTATATTTGACTCATGTACCTATTTGAGAGGGGATGCTGAAAAAATTCCAGGATAAAAGCAAAGAAAAAGCAAACCATATGTCGCAATATTGGTGCTTGTCATTTAATACACATTGGTCATACATGATCTGTAACTTTGTACTCTGACATTTTGTATGTAAACAATTGGTTTGTGTTATACAGGTGGCCCCATGACCTTTGCCCTCAGTTTGGATTCTGTCCTGAGCGGTCATGAAAATTGGATTTACAGTGTACGGTGGCAGCCCCCAAAGATAACGGGTACATGTTTTATATGCTGTACATTTATCTAATCATCTAGTGTGTGACTTCGACCGGGGTATATTTTGACCTTGAACTGAGTTTATCGTATCCTTGACGTCGTCTGATATATATATAATGACTTTGTCCTGATTTATGTTAACATTGAATTTTTAGGTCACCTGAGCTTTAGCTCAAGTGACCTATTGCTATCCGTTTTCGTCCGTCGTCGTCCGTCGTCCGTCGTCCGTCGTCCGTTAACATTTTACATTTCAAACTTAAAGTCAAGTTCTGCTGGGCCGATTGAACTGAAAGTTGGTAGGAATGATCGCCTCATGGTCCTGACAAAGTGTTGTTATTTTTCGGGTCGATCAGAAATCCAATATGGCCGCCACGGCCGCCATTTTGAAAACCTATTTCAAACTTAAAGTCAAGTTCTGCTGGACCGATTGAACTGAAAGTTGGTAGGAATGATCGCCTCATGGTCCTGACAAAGTGTTGTTATTTTTCGGGTCGATCAGAAATCCAATATGGCCGCCACGGCCGCCATTTTGAAAACCTATTTCAAACTTAAAGTCAAGTTCTGCTGGACCGATTGAACTGAAAGTTGGTAGGAATGATCGCCTCATGGTCCTGACAAAGTGTTGTTATTTTTCGGGTCGATCAGAAATCCAATATGGCCGCCACGGCCGCCATTTTGAAAACCTATTTCAAACTTAAAGTCAAGTTCTGCTGGACCGATTGAACTGAAAGTTGGTAGGAATGATCGCCTCATGGTCCTGACAAAGTGTTGTTATTTTTCGGGTCGATCAGAAATCCAATATGGCCGCCACGGCCGCCATTTTGAAAACCTATTTCAAACTTAAAGTCAAGTTCTGCTGGACCGATTGAACTGAAAGTTGGTAGGAATGATCGCCTCATGGTCCTGACAAAGTGTTGTTATTTTTCGGGTCGATCAGAAATCCAATATGGCCGCCACGGCCGCCATTTTGAAAAACTATTTCAAACTTAAAGTCAAGTTCTGCTAGGCCGATTGAACTGAAACTTTGCAGGAATGATTGACTGATGGTCCTGACAAAGTGTTGTTATTTTTCGGGTCAATCAGAAATACAATTTGGCTGCCATGGCCTCTATTTTACTACTAAGTTCTAATAGGCCGATCTCACTTAAAATTGGTCTAGGAATGATCAGCTCATGGTCCTGACAAAGTTAAGTTAACATTATACTATTGTTTACTCAAATTGGTACATATTTCAACAACAAAAATAAATATTGTGGGACTCAGGTGACCGTTAAGGCCCATGGGCCTCTTGTATATTATACCTTTCACTCGAGCATTATTTGACCTTGACTTGCTGTTTGTCCTTGACCTTTAAGGCTTCACACTTGTATAATACATTTGAATGCTATATTGACTAGGGCTGCAACGATATTAACATGACGCTACAATAAGTATCACAATACTGTGGCCACGATACGATACATATCAAGATACCTATAGTAACAGTGGAGGTTAACAGAGAAACATGTTGCGTATTTTTAATGGCATTATTACAACTGGAAATAGACTTGGTCCAAATTGGGCATGACTTAAATGTTTCACACAATTCTTGTCTTTCGACATGCATGCCGAGCTGTAGCTGTCTCTTAAGCCATGTTGGAACCAATATGAGAAGACTTAATTCAGAAACGAAAAAATCCTGAAAATATTGTAGGTGTATCGTACCGTATTCAATCGTTGCAGCCCTAATATTGACCTTTATTACCCCTTTGAGAAAAATCTAGGAATCTGATTGGTTAAAAACAGTGTACCAAACCGCATTCGTAAATCTAAGGGGGTATACGAAAATCTCAGGGGGTATACGGTCATGTCACGTGATTCTCAGCAGTAATACGGTGGAATCACGTGATTTTACAAGTGGTATACGGGTCACTTGTCTTTGTATCTTGCGACCGGGCATGGGGAGACAACTCGCATTCGTCGTCTGCTTCGCTGTTTACAAAATGGCAAAATGTTTCGCTTCGCATACTGATGAGGAAATACTCGCCAAAAGGGCTAACTATGTGCCACATAACACACAAATGTCGAACAGACGAGCGGCAAACATGCTGAGGGCGTATTTAAAAGAGAGAATCAGGAAAAACAGTTCGAGGAATTTGATAAAACGTAACTAAATGAGGTACTGTGCCTGTTATTTTTCTTTGCTTTTATTATAAAAGACTCAAAGGGGTAATAAATTCGTTACACGCATTTTTGGCAGGGTATACGGGATGGGATGACCCTACAGGATTTCGTATTTCCTTCGGCCTATCGGCCTCAGGAAATATGAAACCCTTTAGGGTCATACCATATCGGCCTCAGGAAATACGAAACCCTTTAGGGTCATACCATCCCGTATACCCTGCCAAAAATCTGTGTAACTAATAATATGTTGCAATGTTAGACCATATACATATTTGACCTTGACCTATGTGTTATGTCACAGATTCAGGTTATATTTGACCTTGACCTTTGTGTTATGTCACAGATTCAGGTTACCAACAGCCAATGCGTCTACTGTCAGCGTCTATGGATAAAACTATGATTCTGTGGAAACCCGACCAGGACACGGGGGTGTGGGTGGAGGAGGTGAGAGCTGCTACACCATTGATAACCAGAATTTGTCTTATCAAGAAGTTGGTAATCTGTTTATTTTCCTGTGATTTGGACCAGTTGATTTTTCAGCCAGACAAGTTGTTCTAAAGATTACTTGACCAAAGTCAATGTATAGCCTTGTACATATATTATGTATATTAATACAGATAAGTTTAATAAAACTAGGGTTATCAGCTTGATGTGTCTGTTTATAGGTGCGAGTTGGAGAAGTGGGCGGTAACACACTTGGTTTCTATGGCGGTATGTTCAGTCCCCATGGAGATGCCATCATTGCTCATGGTTACCAGGGTGCATTTCATCACTGGTCACATGACAAGGTACCTTTCTATTTATAGCGTGAGATTCCCAAGCCTTGATTGTATATGACCAATGGAACTCATGATATTACTGTTTATCTCTTAATTATCTGTTTATGTTGAATTCTGTTTCCTTTTCATTGTCTCTTTTCTGTATAAAAATCAACTAATCTTACTGATTTTCTTTTATGATAAAGTGTATATTTTTTAATCACTTCCACTTCAAGTCATCATTGATACTCCAGGGATTACAACTCACCTTGCACTGTGTCATCATTGATACTCCAGGGGTTACAACTCACCTTACACTGTGTCATCATTGATACCCCAGGGGTTACAACTCACCTTACACTGTGTCATCATTGATACTCCAGGGGTTACAACTCACCTTACACTGTGTCATCATTGATACCCCAGGGGTTACAACTCACCTTACACTGTGTCATCATTGATACCCCAGGGGTTACAACTCACCTTACACTGTGTCATCATTGATACCCCAGGGGTTACAACTCACCTTACACTGTGTCATCATTGATACCCCAGGGGTTACAACTCACCTTACACTGTGTCATCATTGATACCCCAGGGGTTACAACTCACCTTACACTGTGTCATCATTGATACCCCAGGGGTTACAACTCACCTTACACTGTGTCATCATTGATACCCCAGGGGTTACAACTCACCTTACACTGTGTCATCATTGATACCCCAGGGGTTACAACTCACCTTACACTGTGTCATCATTGATACCCCAGGGGTTACAACTCACCTTACACTGTGTCATCATTGATACCCCAGGGGTTACAACTCACCTTACACTGTGTCATCATTGATACCCCAGGGGTTACAACTCACCTTACACTGTGTCATCATTGATACCCCAGGGGTTACAACTCACCTTACACTGTGTCATCATTGATACCCCAGGGGTTACAACTCACCTTACACTGTGTCATCATTGATACCCCAGGGGTTACAACTCACCTTACACTGTGTCATCATTGATACCCCAGGGGTTACAACTCACCTTACACTGTGTCATCATTGATACCCCAGGGGTTACAACTCACCTTACACTGTGTCATCATTGATACCCCAGGGGTTACAACTCACCTTACACTGTGTCATCATTGATACCCCAGGGGTTACAACTCACCTTACACTGTGTCATCATTGATACCCCAGGGGTTACAACTCACCTTACACTGTGTCATCATTGATACCCCAGGGGTTACAACTCACCTTACACTGTGTCATCATTGATACCCCAGGGGTTACAACTCACCTTACACTGTGTCATCATTGATACCCCAGGGGTTACAACTCACCTTACACTGTGTCATCATTGATACCCCAGGGGTTACAACTCACCTTACACTGTGTCATCATTGATACCCCAGGGGTTACAACTCACCTTACACTGTGTCATCATTGATACCCCAGGGGTTACAACTCACCTTACACTGTGTCATCATTGATACCCCAGGGGTTACAACTCACCTTACACTGTGTCATCATTGATACCCCAGGGGTTACAACTCACCTTACACTGTGTCATCATTGATACCCCAGGGGTTACAACTCACCTTACACTGTGTCATCATTGATACCCCAGGGGTTACAACTCACCTTACACTGTGTCATCATTGATACCCCAGGGGTTACAACTCACCTTACACTGTGTCATCATTGATACCCCAGGGGTTACAACTCACCTTACACTGTGTCATCATTGATACCCCAGGGGTTACAACTCACCTTACACTGTGTCATCATTGATACCCCAGGGGTTACAACTCACCTTACACTGTGTCATCATTGATACCCCAGGGGTTACAACTCACCTTACACTGTGTCATCATTGATACCCCAGGGGTTACAACTCACCTTACACTGTGTCATCATTGATACCCCAGGGGTTACAACTCACCTTACACTGTGTCATCATTGATACCCCAGGGGTTACAACTCACCTTACACTGTGTCATCATTGATACCCCAGGGGTTACAACTCACCTTACACTGTGTCATCATTGATACCCCAGGGGTTACAACTCACCTTACACTGTGTCATCATTGATACCCCAGGGGTTACAACTCACCTTACACTGTGTCATCATTGATACCCCAGGGGTTACAACTCACCTTACACTGTGTCATCATTGATACCCCAGGGGTTACAACTCACCTTACACTGTGTCATCATTGATACCCCAGGGGTTACAACTCACCTTACACTGTGTCATCATTGATACCCCAGGGGTTACAACTCACCTTACACTGTGTCATCATTGATACCCCAGGGGTTACAACTCACCTTACACTGTGTCATCATTGATACCCCAGGGGTTACAACTCACCTTACACTGTGTCATCATTGATACCCCAGGGGTTACAACTCACCTTACACTGTGTCATCATTGATACCCCAGGGGTTACAACTCACCTTACACTGTGTCATCATTGATACCCCAGGGGTTACAACTCACCTTACACTGTGTCATCATTGATACCCCAGGGGTTACAACTCACCTTACACTGTGTCATCATTGATACCCCAGGGGTTACAACTCACCTTACACTGTGTCATCATTGATACCCCAGGGGTTACAACTCACCTTACACTGTGTCATCATTGATACCCCAGGGATTACAACTCACCTTACACTATGTGTACCCCTGGAATACGTTAAAGCAAAATTGAAGCCTGGGTGCAAAACCCTAAGACAAGAAAAACAGTTTTTTCCTTTGATGTACATCGTCACATTATGATATGATTTACTGGCTTTTAAGTTAGGTGTCACTCCTCTGTAATCTTCAAAAGACAGGTATTAGTCTTGACATATTCCAGGGTTGTAGAGGGCGTAAGTGAGCACAACACCTTGAGTATCGAGGATGAATTCCAGTGTAATAAACATAAGTATCTGTGATTCAAGTGTAATCTGTATCATGTATAAGAATGTAGGGAGGTTCCATCAATTTCATTCACTGTTTATTCTGGGAAGACTATTCTCCGACCTTTCATCGAATACAGTATTTGCCCCCTATGTTACTCTAGTAGACTCTACCATGCATTGACCTGGATGAATCCATTATGGCCTACAGTGGTGAATGGGTTAAGCCACATGATTTCCAAGTCCTTGTTTGTAGGAGTCAATGGTATTAATCAAATTTTAATGATGCTACATTTTTTTCCTTTTATCAAAGATCGGCGAGACTTGGCAACCAATTCCCACTACGAGTGGTCACTTTGGTGATGTCCAGGACTTGTCCTGGGATCCAAGTGATGGTCAGTATGTGGTCAGTGTGAGCCTGGACCAGACCACAAGACTTCATGCTCCTTGGGTCAGAAGTGGACAACAGGTAGGTATAGGGTCCACCTGTCAGGTATATGTAGCCAGTGTCCATCTTGACCATTCCATCAAGTTTCAATAAATTTTATCGAGAAATGTTCGCGGCAGTTAACTTTCGCCTTTTTCACTTTCTGTAATAAGGGCGAAATTATCATGAAAGCAAATGTTATACAGTACATTTCACTTAATATAACGTCGCTTAATGTCACTTTTCGTTTATTATCATGTTTTCTTGATGCACCGTTTTTCCTGCTATAAAAGCTATGTAATTCATCTCTTTTATTATCACTTGTTTTGGTGTTGATTTCGCTTAATGTCACTTTATTATGACAAGTGTCACAAAATAAATCAATGGTAAATGAAGGTAAGAAGCTTCATATTTCAATGAAATAAACAAATAAAAGACACTTATTTGACTGTTAATAAAGAAAAAGCTCTGTCAGTTACAAATATTTTTACTAAACGATCTTCTTTGTAAAATCATAGCACTTGGACATTAAATTATGGTCACTTACAGGTTTTGACATCTGAAATGGTCAGAAAAACCTGTTTTCTTTTTATGTCATGCTCTGGTTAATATCATGTTTTTCTCTGATAAATGAGAAGTGATATTAAGCGAAATCTACTGTATGTATAGTAGATATAAGCCAAGGGCAAAATTTACACTGGGCAAAGATGGATTTCAATTGAAAAGGGCGAAAATTTGCCTGAGTGAAATTTTCTAAGTGCTACATAGTCAACCGATGACATTAAACAGTTGATATCACTCATCTGGCAAATCCTGAAAATGTTAAATAACCTGCTGGATTCAAGCTTGCCTAGGACTGACACCCAAATAACCTGCTGGATTCAAGCTTGCCTAGGACTGACACCCAAATAACCTGCTGGATTCAAGCTTGCCTAGGACTGACACCCTTTTTTGGTTCCTCATGTCTCAAAATTTATTTTCCATTCACAATTCATAAATTCGATTTAGTACTCGGCCCTGTTGCCTAGATGCACAAGTTGATCACTGTTTTATGACATCATAAGCAAAATGAGCCTTTGACAATTGGCTTGAGTCTAAATTAGAAAGTAACTTGTACTTGTTTTAGTTTTACTATTTGAATATAATAATTTACTTCTGTTTGACATTTCTTTCCATTTTAACTGAACAGACTTCCTGGTTTGAAATAGCGCGACCCCAGGTACATGGATACGACCTACAGTGCCTAGCACTGGTACACAAGTACAGCATGGCCACAGGTGCTGATGAGAAGGTCGTCAGAGTGTTTGAAGCACCGACGAATTTCATCCAAAATTTCTGTAGTATCTGTGGGACAGACCTAAACAAAGAACTACAGAAAGAGGTAAGCTTCGTAAATGTTGGTACTAGTGGCATAAAGCTACCATAAAACCCCGTGTAATTTCGCACCTATGTCATTTGAGCAGGTACTTTTTGAGGCTGAAAATCTGAAAAAAAGCTTCTACTCGAATATTTTGCAAAAATTATCTGGGTTTTTGTAATTTGTTTGTTATCAGTGAGTTCATAATAATTGTTTACAGGTACAATGATAGATAGATGTTTGGCCCAGTGATATAAAGCTAAATAGATGTTTGTCCTGGTGGTATAATCATTCGTAGATGGTGGCCTTGATGCTAACATTGATCTGTGTTGGTCCAGTAAGATAACTAGTTTTAGATATTTGGTCCTATTGTATAAACATTAATAACTATTGGCTTAGTGATATAAATATTGAGAGATGTTAGCCGAGTGATAGAACCTTAGTGATATAAATATTGAGAGATGTTAGCCGAGTGATAGAACCTTAGTGATATAAATATTGAGAGATGTTAGCCGAGTGATATAACCTTAGTGATATAAATATTGAGAGATGTTAGCCGAGTGATATAACCTTAGTGATATAAATATTGAGAGATGTTAGCCGAGTGATATAACCTTAGTGATATAAATATTGAGAGATGTTAGCCGAGTGATATAACCTTAGTGATATAAATATTGAGAGATGTTAGCCGAGTGATATAACCTTAGTGATATAAATATTGAGAGATGTTAGCCGAGTGATATAACCTTAGTGATATAAATATTGAGAGATGTTAGCCGAGTGATATAACCTTAGTGATATAAATATTGAGAGATGTTAGCCGAGTGATATAACCTTAGTGATATAAATATTGAGAGATGTTAGCCGAGTGATATAACCTTAGTGATATAAATATTGAGAGATGTTAGCCGAGTGATATAACCTTAGTGATATAAATATTGAGAGATGTTAGCCGAGTGATATAACCTTAGTGATATAAATATTGAGAGATGTTAGCCGAGTGATATAACCTTAGTGATATAAATATTGAGAGATGTTAGCCGAGTGATATAACCTTAGTGATATAAATATTGAGAGATGTTAGCCGAGTGACATAACCTTAGTAATATAAATATTGAGAGATGTTAGCCGAGTGACATAACCTTAGTAATATAAATATTGAGAGATGTTAGCCGAGTGACATAACCTTAGTAATATAAATATTGAGAGATGTTAGCCGAGTGACATAACCTTAGTAATATAAATATTGAGAGATGTTAGCCGAGTGACATAACCTTAGTAATATAAATATTGAGAGATGTTAGCCGAGTGACATAACCTTAGTAATATAAATATTGAGAGATGTTAGCCGAGTGACATAACCTTAGTAATATAAATATTGAGAGATGTTAGCCGAGTGACATAACCTTAGTAATATAAATATTGAGAGATGTTAGCCGAGTGACATAACCTTAGTAATATAAATATTGAGAGATGTTAGCCGAGTGACATAACCTTAGTAATATAAATATTGAGAGATGTTAGCCGAGTGACATAACCTTAGTAATATAAATATTGAGAGATGTTAGCCGAGTGACATAACCTTAGTAATATAAATATTGAGAGATGTTAGCCGAGTGACATAACCTTAGTAATATAAATATTGAGAGATGTTAGCCGAGTGACATAACCTTAGTAATATAAATATTGAGAGATGTTAGCCGAGTGACATAACCTTAGTAATATAAATATTGAGAGATGTTAGCCGAGTGACATAACCTTAGTAATATAAATATTGAGAGATGTTAGCCGAGTGACATAACCTTAGTAATATAAATATTGAGAGATGTTAGCCGAGTGACATAACCTTAGTAATATAAATATTGAGAGATGTTAGCCGAGTGACATAACCTTAGTAATATAAATATTGAGAGATGTTAGCCGAGTGACATAACCTTAGTAATATAAATATTGAGAGATGTTAGCCGAGTGACATAACCTTAGTAATATAAATATTGAGAGATGTTAGCCGAGTGACATAACCTTAGTAATATAAATATTGAGAGATGTTAGCCGAGTGACATAACCTTAGTAATATAAATATTGAGAGATGTTAGCCGAGTGACATAACCTTAGTAATATAAATATTGAGAGATGTTAGCCGAGTGACATAACCTTAGTAATATAAATATTGAGAGATGTTAGCCGAGTGACATAACCTTAGTAATATAAATATTGAGAGATGTTAGCCGAGTGACATAACCTTAGTAATATAAATATTGAGAGATGTTAGCCGAGTGACATAACCTTAGTAATATAAATATTGAGAGATGTTAGCCGAGTGACATAACCTTAGTAATATAAATATTGAGAGATGTTAGCCGAGTGACATAACCTTAGTAATATAAATATTGAGAGATGTTAGCTGAGTGATATAACCTTAGAGAGATTTAGTGTTGGCCTTGTGGTATAAAATGTTAAAACTTTTCGGAGTATCTTTATAACAAATAAAGAGATACCTGGTCATTTAAATTTTTGTGTAATTAAATCTGAAAGAGAAATATGTGCAAAATGATTGTTCGCAAATAATCTGAACAGAAATCTACTTATTTCTGCAGAATTTATTTCATATCTAAATTTAAGTTGATATAAATTCCACTGTTTCCTTTCATTGTTCCAACCTTTATCATTGTTTTGGTGGTGTTGATAAATAAATAAATAAGTAAATAAATGTACTCTACACTTGGGTGTTGTGCCTACAGGTGGCTAAGAATCGTCCAGATGGAGCCAGCGTGCCCGCTCTAGGTCTATCAAACAAAGCTGTGTTCAGTGAGCAGGGCAAACTGCCTGTTCCTGCAGAAGGTGAAATACAGCCACACCCTAATGACCAGTACCCAGAGGTCTATTTCCAGTCTGTTCACATGAAAGGTAAGACACCCTCCACAAATCTGCTGAAACTCGCAGCCTTCTCCTATACAACAAAATATTTCCTGTCTTTTATTTTGGAAACATATAATGTTGTTATTATGATCCCAGTTACTACTTTTGAATTTATTCTGGAATTCACCAAAAATACACATTTTTCTTTCTCTCTGTTGTGGAGTATTGCAGATCTCAGGAGGAATGTAAAAAAAAATAGAAATCTAATATGATGTCAAGCCTATTAAAGTTTGCCTGATTGCTTGACTATCAGAAATGATATAACATTTAATGAGTAAAATAACTTTTTCAGAACCACCAACAGAGGAACATCTTCTACAAAACACCCTGTGGCCTGAGACACAGAAGCTCTATGGACATGGCTATGAGATTTTCTCACTGGCCTGTGACCCCCAGGGTACTGTGCTGGCGTCCGCCTGTAAGGTAGGATAACATGTTTCTTTTTTAAATGACCACGATCATCTGAATGACATAGTGCAACACACAAAAGGATTCAAAAATTAAAACACAACTTTTAGGAATTCTATTTCTGTCAAGTTCATCGGTATGTTTTTAAGCTCACCTGGTACAAAGGACCATGGTCAGCTTATGCCATACTGCGGTGTCCGGTGTCCGTCCGTCCGTCAACTTTTCCTTTATAGCGCTACTAGTCCTGAACGACCCTGTAGATTTTGACTAAATTTGGTCTGGAGCATCCTTAGGACAAGGGGACTCAATTTTGTATAAACAGTGGGTGTGGCTCCCCCTGGGGGCAGAGAAGCGGGGTCTGATAGGGGAAATAGAGGTAAAACCTTTGAAATTCTTCTTCTACCATAGGGATTAAGGGATTTTATCCCAACTTAGTCTGGAACATCCTTGGACCAAGGCAACTCAATTTTGTATGAAAAGCAGTCTTGGCCCCCCTGGGGGGCTGAGGGGTAGGGCCCAATAGGTAAAATAGAAGTAAACCTTTAAAATCCTTCTTCTACCACAGGGATTAAGGGATTTCATTCCAATTTGGTCTGGAGTGTCCTTGGGCCATGGGGACTCAATTTGTATAAATGATGGGTGTTGCCCCCTGGGGGCAGAGGAGTGGGGCCCAATAGGGGAAATAGAAGTAAACCTTTAAAATCCTTCTTCTACCGCAGGGATTAAGGGATTTCATTCCAATTTGGTCTGAAGCATCCTTGGGCCATGGGGACTCAATTTTGTATAAATGGTGGGTGTTACCCCCCTGGGGGCAGAGGAGTGGGGCCCAATAGGGGAAATAGAGGTACACCTTTAAAATCCTTCTTCTACCACAGGGATTAAGGGATTTCATCCTAATTTGGTCTGGAACATCCTTGGGCCAAGGGGACTCAGTTTTGTATAAACGATGGGTTTGGACCGACTGCAGGCAGAGGTTCGGGGCCCAATAGGGGAAATAGAGGTAAAACCTTTGAAATCCTTCTTCTACCGTAGGAATAAGGGGATTGTGTGCTTATTTTGTCTGCAGAATTCTTGGGTAAAAAGGACTCAATCGGATAAACGGTTGGTGTGGCCCCTTTGGGTGCAGAGGGGCGGGGCTCAAAAAGGAAATTTGAGCTTTAAATCTTTAAAATCCTTTCCTTCTGTACCATTTGAGGGATTTTACCAAATTTGGCTTGGATCATCCTTGGGTAAAGGGGTCATAATTTTGTATAAACGGTTGGTGTGGCCCCTTGGGTGCAGAGTTGCGGGGCTCAAAAGTGGAATTAGAGGTTTAAGTTTTTGAAATCCTTCACCTTCTGTACTATTGGCGGGATTTTATCCAAATTTGGCCTAGAGTATCCTTGGGCAAAGGGGACATAATTTTGTATAATTGGCCACTCTGGGTACTGATGCAGAGTTGCAGGGCCCAATAGGGGAATTTGAGGTTTAATTCTTTAAAATCCTTTTTCTTCTGTACCATTGGAGGGATTTTTTTAATAAGAAAAATTCCCATGGTTGCTTTATTATCCATGTGAGCGATACAGGCCCTCTGGGCCTCTTGTTCTGTAATATCAACTGATACATGCCATATGTGCCTCTCGTGACGGCTGTATATAAAAGTGAACTTATGTTTTTAGGCAGCTAAGGCAGAGTTTGCTGGTGTGATATTGTATGATACAAAAACCTGGTCACAGCAAGGTACTCTGGAGGGTCACTCACTGACCGTCACTCACATCGCATTCTCTCACAGTGGTCAGTTTCTGCTGACTGTGTCCCGGGACCGGACTTGGGTTCTGTATAAAAGGAGAAACAAGGATGCTACTGATACAGGTAATGAAATCCCAAACCATGTTTTTCTGGTAAAGTGTACAAGTCATCCTAAATATGTCCTGAACCATTGGTCAGAAATTAAAGAACATCCCATTAACTATTGGTAAGATACACTTTACAATATCTGTACCTATCAGTCCCGAGTAACGTCCTTACATGTCATTAAGTTCAAACAATATTAATGGCCTAAGGATCAAAGAACAAAATCGAACTGTGTCTGACTATAGCACAACCAAGTGGCAAACAAATAAAATACCAGTAAGCAAATTTCTACAACTTTGAGGTGATCGTCTACAAAACCTGAAGTAAAGATGATCTTGCCAATCACAAAAGTTCATATCAGATTGAAATTACTGGTTTATCAACCTTGTACTAAAGGAATTATGTAGATTTCTAGGGCCCCTTTGGCGTATCAAGTTCTACCGTTTCAAACAGCTGAACTTAAAAAGATCTGAATCGAGGCTGACCTCAGGATTATTCAGCACGTGTATATTGAGGGGTCCAGACGTGCCTTATCAAAACTAAAACGCTGACAATCGCTAGTTTGCATTATTTCTTTATAAATCAAAGTCAATTCTCGTGTATATTTTATGATACATTATATGATTTGTTGGACGAATGAGAGAAGGACATATTATTCTTTGTATATTGTTATATATTTGTCACAAAATTCTGTGAAACTTTGCACTTTTTAGCTCTATATACTGTTCGGTCCAAGTGCGTTCGTTTATTATGGAATATTTCTGCGTCACCTAAACCGTTTCAACTGGGATATGTGAATGCTACCTAGAAGCATTATATATTTTTTACACAAGTGTGGACACCTGACAGGTAATGTTTAGGGTATAGACACAGTAGGGGGACACCTGACAGGTAATGTTTAGGGTATCGATCCAGTAATTGAACACCTGACAGGTAATGTTTAGGGTATCGATCCAGTAATTGAACACCTGACAGGTAATGTTTAGGGTATAGGCACAGTAAGTGAACACCTGACAGGTAATGTTTAGGTTATAGACACAGTAAGCAGAATTATGTATTAGTTGCTTCCGATGTTTGTTTCTGTAACCAACACCATAGACACAGTAAGTGAACACCTGACAGGTAATATTTAGGGTATAGACACAGTAAGTGGACACCTGACAGGTAGTGTTTAGGGGATAGACACAGTAAGTGGACACCTGACAGGTAATATTTAGGGTATAGACACAGTAAGTGGACACCCGACAGGTAATGTTTAGGGTATAGACACAGGACGTGAACACCTGACAGGTAATGTTTAGGGTATATACACAGTAAGTGGACACCTGACAGGTAATATTTAGGGTATAGACACAGTAAGTGGACACCCGACGGGTAATGTTTAGGGTATAGACACAGTAAGGGGACACCTGACAGGTAATGTTTAGGGTATATACACAGTAAGTGAACACCTGACAGGTAATATTTAGGGTATAGACACAGTAAGTGGACACCCGACAGGTAATGTTTAGGGTATAGACACAGTAGGGGGACACCTGACAGGTAATGTTTAGGGTATAGACACGGTAAGTGAACACCTGACAGGTAATGTTTAGGGTATCGATCCAGTAATTGAACACCTGACAGGTAATGTTTAGGGTATAAACACAGTAAGTGAACACCTGACAGGTAATATTTAGGGTATAGACACAGTAAGTGGACACCCGACAGGTAATGTTTAGGGTATAGACACAGGACGTGAACACCTGACAGGTAATGTTTAGGGTATATACACAGTAAGTGAACACCTGACAGGTAATATTTAGGGTATAGACACAGTAAGTGGACACCCGACAGGTAATGTTTAGGGTATAGACACAGAAAGTGGACACCTGACAGGTAATGTTTAGGGTATCGATCCAGTAATTGAACACCTGACAGGTAATGTTTAGGGTATCGATCCAGTAATTGAACACCTGACAGGTAATGTTTAGGGTATAGACCCAGTAAGTGAACACCTGACAGGTAATGTTGAGGGTTTAGACTCAGTAAGTGGACATCTGCCAGGTTATGTTTAGGGTATAGACACAGTAAGTGGACACCCGACAGGTAATGTTTAGGGTATAGACACAGTAACTGAACACCTGACAGGTAATGTTTAGTGTATAGACACAGTAAGTGGACACCTGACAAGTAATGTTAAGGGTATAAACACAGTAAGTGGACACCTGACAGGTAATATTTAGGGTATAGACACAGTAAGTGGACACCCGACAGGTAATGTTTAGGGTATAGACACAGTAAGTGAATACCTGACAGGTAATGTTTAGGGTATAGACGCAGTAAGTGAACACCTGACAGGTAATGTTGAGGGTTTAGACTCAGTAAGTGGACATCTGCCAGGTTATGTTTAGGGTATAGACACAGTAAGTGGACACCTAACAGGTAATGTTTAGGGTATAGACACAGTAGGGGGACACCTGACAGGTAATGTTTAGGGTATAGATACAGTAAGTGGACACCTGCCAGGTAATGTTTAGGGAATAGACACAGTAAGTGGACACCTGACAGGTAATGTTTAGGGTATAGACACAGTAAGCAGAATTATGTATTAGTTACATCCGATGTTTGTTTCTGTAACCAACACCAACCTTGATCTATTGTCGCATGTAGAGCCACTATTTTCCAAGATGGCTGCCACAGACAAGAAATCTGCCGTCCACACCAGGATCATCTGGTCATGTGCCTGGTCACATGACGACAAGTACTTCTTCACTGCAGCCAGAGATAAAAAGGTACCGTTCATTAGACAAATCAACTTAAATGAGTGGAGATTGGTATGATAATATTGATAATTTAAATCAAAACATATTCCGATTCATTAAACACCAAACAACCTAAGTAACGTATTTTCTATTGTAATAGTATTCATGAACATAACATTGACATTATATTCCAGTGGATGATACCTGATGGATTCAATCAAATAAAACCTTGTTTATAAAACTTATATTTACCTGGTGGAAGTCTGTCTGGTCAGTGTTCATCAAATGCTTTGAAACGAAAAAGTTTGTTGACTGATGCTCAAAGAAACCTTTTCCCCAATAGGTTCTAGTATGGAGACGACCAGACCTTTTCTCACCTGGAGGAGACATGGTAGGAAAGCCAATCGGAATGATAGATGTTGGAGAGTCGGCTACAGCAGTGGATGTGGCACCAGTACAAATGTCAAACAACAGGTACGTCTGATTACCATTACAGGTATGTCTTGTTACAGGTATGTCGGGTTCAATTTGATAACAGGTGTCTTGTCTTATTATAGATATAGCAGGTTACAGTTAGGTCTTGTAGAAAGGTTCATGTAGCACAACCAGTAAGTGTTTATGTGTGACGGTTCATTGACCAGTATGGTATGAACTCTGTCTAGAAAGGTTCATGTAACACAACCAGTATGTGTTTATGTGTGACAGTTCAATGACCAGTATGGTACGAACTCTGTCTAGAAAGGTTCATGTAACACAACCAGCAAGTGTTAATGTGTGACGGTTCAATGACCAGTATGGTACGAACTCTGTCTAGAAAGCTTCATGTAGCACAACCAGAAAGTGTTTATGTGTGACAGTTCAATGACCAGTATGGTACGAACTCTGTCTAGAAAGCTTCATGTAGCACAACCAGCAAGTGTTTATGTGCGACGGTTCAATGACCAGTATGGTACGTACTCTGTCTAGAAAGGTTCATGTAACACAACCAGTAAGTGTTTATGTGTGACGGTTCAATGACCAGTATGGTACGTATTGTCTAGAAAGGTTCATGTAGCACAACCAGTAAGTGTTCATGTGTGACGGTTCAATGACCAGTATGATATGTACTCTGTCTAGAAAGGTTCATGTAACACAACCAGTAAGTGTTTATGTATGACGGTTCAAAGACCAGTATGGTACGTTCTGTCTAGAAAGGTTCATGTAACACAACCAGTAAGTGTTTTGTGCGACGGTTCAATGACCAGTATGGTACGTACTGTCTAGAAAGGTTCATGTAACACAACCAGTAAGTGTTTATGTGTGACAGTTCAGTGACTTGTACAGTAAATACTCTGTCACTTTCATCAGACAAATGACCAGTGAAGTATAATTATGTACACAAAAGTGTAAAACTATGTGCAAGTTAACAATATAAGATTCGTCAATTTTGCTATAACCATATGTACACTTCTATAGTTTGGTCTGTTCACAGGTGTTTTAGTTGGTTACAGGTTATTCTGGTTTGTTTTAGGTATGCTTACCTCCAGTTTGTTGGATAAAAGCTTGCCAGCTATAGATCACATTTGTGTTAGATAACACAGGTATGTGGGTTATCACGACAGATCATAAGATGCTTGACTACTTCTATTACAGATATATGGTGGCTGTAGGATTGGAGAATGGCTCCATACACTTGTACACTTGGAACGTTACAGACAATGATCAATCCTCTGTTTGGAAGAGCTTTGGTCAACTGTATCCTTTTGCCGTTATAATATTATGAAAAAAAGATTTTTTTTTTTTTTTTAGAAAAGATGAAAACATTTTAGAAGGAAAATAATTCTATAAATAAAATAATTTATGTGAATTTGAATTGAAGTGTATATGTAAAAATGACTATTGGGCACAAAGTTATCCAGTCATGATTGGCAGTGCGTCTTTACTGCTAAAACCTGCTAAAAGTTTTCTTTGACAGACTTTTAGAAATGTCCATCACCTGACAGTAAAGCAGCTGAGGTTTCGTCCATGTTTAGGTAGAGCAGGTACCCAGGAAGCTGATGAATCATGGCTTCAATTGGCCAGCTGTGGGGCAGATCACGGAGTCCGTATCTACGACATAGACCTCACAAAAGTTTGACAGTGGTTGCATCTGCCTCATCAACCACACGAAAGTTTGACAGAGTCAAGATCTGCAATATGGATCATCTCTGAAGAGCTGCATCTTCAATATAGACCTCCTTTAAAATCTATTGAAGCGACATCTTGAAGATAGACTGCACAAAAGTCCATCAAGTACCGCGTCTACGATGTGTAAATCAAGCAATTTGATACAAGTCCCATCTAGGATATAGACCTCGCAAAAATCTATATTGATAAAGACCGTGACTTTTGAACATTTGACTGCTGCAACCCTGATGTCTAGGATATTTCTTTTTTGGTTAGAAAATGTGTAGTGTACTTTGTAAAAAAATGTGCATTTCAAATAAATCTGTGATAATATATATGAACCTGTCTTAAGTTGATTTAGATCATGGAGAGGTGTTCAGTGGTTTTGGTGAACAACATGACTTATTGTCAGGACTTAATAGCAGAGAGATTGGTCAATGATACTTCAATACCACTGTCGTAAACCTAATTACTTAGGGATAATTGATAATAAATTCTCACCACATAACTTGACCTGTCTCACCCCAGAGAGTTTGACCAGACTGGCCATGAACAATTAGTCAAGTCTGACCCGAGAGTTTGAACAGTCTGGCTGCAAACAATGACTCAAGTCTGATCAGAGAGTTTGATAACAGTCTGGCGGTAAACAATGACTCAAGTCTGACCAGAGAGTTTAACTACAGTCTGGCCATGAACAATGACTCAAGTCTGACCAGAGAGTTTGACTACAGTCTGGCCGTAAACAATGACTCAAGTCTGACCAAAGAGTTTGACCACAGTTTGGTCACAAACAATGACTCTAGTCTGATCAGAGAGTTTGAACACAGTCAGACCACAAACAACGACTCAAGTCTGACCCGAGAGTTTGACCACAGTCTGGCCATGAACAATTACTCAAGTCTGATCAGAGAGTTTGACCAGAGTCTGGCCACGACTAATGACTCAAGTCTGACCAGAGAGTTTGACCATAGTCTGGCCATAAACAACGACTCAAGTCTGACCAGAGAGTTTGACCACAGTCTGGCCATGAACAATGACTCAAGTCTGATCAGAGAGATGGACCACAGTCAGACCACAAACAATGACTCAAGTCTGACCAGAAAGTTTGACCAGTCTGGCCATGAACAATGACTCAAGTCTGACCAGAGAGTTTGACCAGAGTCTGGCCATGAACAATGACTCAAGTCTGACTAGAGAGTTTGACCACAGTCTGGCCACAAACAATGACTCAAGTCTGACCAGAGAGTTTGACCACAGTCTGGCCATGAACAATGACTCAAGTCTGATCAGAGAGTTGGACCACAGTCTGACCACAAACAATGACTCAAGTCTGAACAGAGAGTTTGAACACAGTCAGACCACAAACAACGACTCAAGTCTGACCCGAGAGTTTGACCACAGTCTGGCCATGAACAATTACTCAAGTCTGATCAGAGAGTTTGACCAGAGTCTGGCCACGACTAATGACTCAAGTCTGACCAGAGAGTTTGACCACAGTCTGGCCATGAACAATGACTCAAGTCTGATCAGAGAGTTGGACCACAGTCAGACCACAAACAATGACTCAAGTCTGACCAGAAAGTTTGACCACAGTCTGGCCACAAACAATGACTCAAGTCTGACCAGAGAGGTTGACCAGAGTCTGGCTGCAAACAATTACTCAAGTCTGACCAGAGAGTTTGACCACAGTCAGACCATGAACAATGACTCAAGTCTGACCAGAGAGTTTGACCACAGTCTGGCCACAAACAATGACTCAATTCTGACCAGAGAGTTTGACCAGAGTCTGGCTGCAAACAATGACTCAAGTCTGACCAAAGAGTTGGACCAGTCTGGCCATGAACAATGACTCAAGTCTGACCAGAGAGTTTGACCACAGTCAGACCACAAACAATGACTCAAGTCTGACCAGAGAGTTGGACCACAGTCAGACCACAAACAATGACTTAAGTCTGACCAGAGAGTTTGTCCAACAAAAAACATAAGAACAAGGTTAACTCAATTAAAATAATTTATTCCTGTCCAGAACATACAATCATTTTTGACATGACAGGATACATATGCAGTTCAGCGTACAATGAATGGACTTATTATTTTAAAAAACCTTACAACACATAATGTATATAATAATATGTTCACATGTATTGCATAAAGAGCTTGCTATTTGCATTATCATGACGTTTAAATATTAAAATGTAAAACTTCAGACAAGTATGCAAGATTTAATACACAATTATATTAAAAAATTAATATATTAATGAGGAGTTCTTAATATACACAAGTGAAAATTTGATGTAAACAAAAATAAGGAAACAACATAGGGATTATGTAATTTTCTACATACATCTACTGTATATATGGATACCATACAAAAATGTTACATGCAAAACCCAAGTCCTCGATGAAATATGAGTGAATGTTGAAGAGACGATGGGCAGGAATGCTAGCTACGTACAACAGATGTGTTTAGAGTGACCAGTAAATCCACAGTGACCAGTAAATCCATAACATCAAACTCTTTGACTGGATCACTTGATACTGGCCTGATAACCTTTTTTTCTAGAAATATTATATGGAAACAGTTTTGTCTGCTATAATCAATAATAATTCACATTAAACTGTAACAGGAGAGGAAAAATGCACGGCCAGACAAGGGTTCGAACCGGACCCTCCGAACTCTAGCGGATGCTCTACCAATTGAGCTATCTGGTCGCCGACAATCGACCCAGTCCAGTTCCGCTACGAAACTTTCAACATGGTTTTTAATTTGATGGGAAATTTCACTGTATCATGTTTCAAGAAAATCTTCAGGTCTGGTCTTTGTTGTTATTTAGATCGATAATCAGAGCTATGAAATACTGATTGAAAGAAAACAAGACTTATATTTGTGAACTATTTTGTCTGGTATGGAACGGACGGAAAAAGCAATGCTGTACAATTATAACCTTTAGTATACAAGTTGCCTTCAATTAAGCAAAATAGCGGTGTGGATATATAACCAGATATAATAGCAGTACATATATATACAATGAATACCCATACATGCCATTTTAAAATTTCTCTACTGACCAAAGTTTTGAATGCCATACCCGGGGCAAATTATACATGTAAACTTAACAATACCTCCTATTCACGTTTATTACAACAAGTGACATGCTGAGATTGATAAGACAATTAACAATCTGATTAAAACCATATCTTTAATTCTACTCCGATACTTTACGTTCCAGTCAAGGAAACGTGGAGTATCGGGGTGAAATTAAAGATCTGGTTTTAATCATATTGGACGATTAATATATCAAGATTTATTTGACAAAGTGATACAACACTTGGTGACTTTAATGAGACGCATCTATAGACACCAGACATTGCCAACCAATAGAATTGAACCACAGAGGAAATTGGAAAAGAAAAGTGACACTACACCACAAATACTTGTTTGTTGATGGACATTGATGGTTACATAGCAGACAGTGTACACATTAGTGTACAACAGATACACAACATTAATCCTGAGCTCATTAAAATCCTAAAGAGGAAAGGATACACCTTGAATGACTTATATATTTATACATCGCTACCTGTAAGTAGACTCCTTGTTAGATGTACAATTCTCCAATATATACATGTAGAGGCACTACAAACCTACGTACAATATAACTTAGACACGAAAGATGTACACATCACACGGCTGTACAACAAGTGATTATACAGACCAACCATACTATCACCACTAGCTTCTACTCCGTACACATTAATTCTCACAAACAGGTTCAGTTAGATTTTATCTGGGGGAGGCAGAAATTTAACTACCAGCTAGAACAACACATGCAGTACAACAGTGATAAGAGGTGATTTAACACCCAGTACAGTAAATATCAACAGCCTTAACAGATCTCGGGGTTATCATAAGAGGTGATTTAACACCCAGTACAGTAAATATCAACAGCCTTAACAGATCTCGGGGTTACCATCTTAGTTTGGGTACACATCTTCAGCGTAAGAAAGGTTATGTACCAGTCAGCATATGACACTGATAGTGTTAAAAGATCAATAATTATTGCAACTGAATTCCAGTATTTTTAAACATAAATATTATGCTTTTCTTATTGTTGGGAAGTAAAAACAGTTAAAAACACGAACAGTATAATAACCATCATGTTTCTGTATACTTTAAAATTCTGATGGTTGAGCCCAGTAAAGAACAAGGATCGTGTGGTTTCTTTGTGTAAATCGAGAACCAAACAACCTATTCACCATGCATTGCCACATTGGTCACAACAATTGTCCTCAGTACCTGCCTTGACATGTTACCTTTGTGAACAATGAGATATTTCCCATCTATGCTAGAAGACATGATTGACATCTACAATGCAGATGTCATAATATGGATGAAACAAGGGAAGAATGGTTTCAATTTGCAGAGCAGAATTCAAACATTTTCTGAATGAATTTGTTAATCTCAAACTGAGATTCTTTTCATTATATGACATAGGCTTTTGACACATTATTGTAAACAATGTATTTTTACAATACAAAAAACAACAAAGCTGAACCACGTATGGATCAGATAGTGACATTGATACTACACATTTTATACTGTTCACCTCAAAACCTTAAGTATAGTAGGTGATGAAACATGGTGTATGTAAGATTTATGGGATCAATTACTTTAAATATACTCTTTTTCAAAACTGGTTTTACGGTAATTAATAGATTTAAATACATGTATGTGAACTACTGATTTCAACTATGTTGACAATATCATCATTCTATTCATCATTGATTTGTAATAACAACTGGAAAACACTGCAATAGGTTTTGTGAGTAAATAAAATATGAAGTAAATAATTCGAGCCAAAGGACAGCTTTAATATTAAAACACATAGTAGTCAACTTGAATGTCGAATTGTAGATCACATCTATCATTTATCTTTGATTTATTGATTGTGAACATGATTATTTTATAGTCATTTGGCAGACCGTATAATCGGTAGTTATCACAATTACTTGTACATGTACCACGGATGTGGAGAATCATCCCGATGGCTACGTGTAATAGATTGCCTCTGGTTTTTGACTGATGATAGGGAGACATTTCATTGTCAATATATAAATATAAGAATTTTAGTTACTTTCAAATCAAAGTCATGTAGCTAGGAGAGAAATTATTCATGCATGGTTAAGATGTTAATCAACATTCAGTAGACAAACATATAACAATGATTATATATATATAAAACTTTATCAAGACGAGGACTGAGAGTACAGGGTGGGACAACACATACTGATATACTCTATATCTTGTTAGCTATGGACAACACATTTTACATAAATAAATAACACATGTAGATCAATCTTATGTTCAACACTTCCCTCCTGTAAGAGTCGGGAGGGGCAGTTGTGAGGTCACTATACACAGTAGATATGCTTCCCTCCTGTAAGAGTCCGGAGGGGCAGTTGTGAGGTCACTATACACAGTAGTTATGCTTCCCTCCTGTAAGAGTCGGGGGGAGGGACAGTTGTGAGGTCACTATACACAGTAGTTATGCTTCCCTCCTGTTAGAGTCGGGAGGGACAGTTGTGAGGTCACTTTACACAGTAGTTATGCTTCCCTCCTGTAAGAGTCGGGGGGGGGACAGTTGTGAAGTCACTATACACAGTAGTTATATATGCTTCTCTCCTGTAAGAGTCGGGAGGGGCAGTTGTGAGGTCACTATACACAGTAGTTATGCTTCCCTCCTGTAAGAGTCGGGAGGGACAGTTGTGAGGTCACTATACACAGTAGTTATGCTTCCCTCCTGTAAGAGTCGGGAGGGGCAGTTGTGAGGTCTCTATACACAGTAGTTATGCTTCCCTCCTGTAAGAGTCGGGAGGGACAGTTGTGAGGTCACTTTACACAGTAGTTATGCTTCAACACACAGTTGGCATAGGGACATGATAATTATGATAAACAGGCATCTGACTGATAGCATACTGTTAACCGGGAAATTTCCACCAGTTTAGCTTTCGCCTTGTTTGCCCTCAGTAATGAGGATGAAATTATCATGACAGCGACTTTTAGTACGCAGGCATAAAAATTACATACAAAGGGCGAAATGAACACTGGGCAAATGTGGATTGTAGTTGTATAGTGAAATTTCCATCACAGTTTAACTTCTGCTTGTTTGCTGTCTGAAATAACGATGTAACTATCATGATACCAAATATTAGTATGTCGAATAAGTATAACATATAAGGGCAAAATGAACAGCGGGCGAATGTAGATGCTTGTGAAGGGTGAAATTTCCTTGTATGCAGTACTTAGAGCTGAGGCTAATGTTTGTCAAACCTGTTGATATTCCAAATCACTGATATTTTTATGCTCAAGAAGAATACTCAAGTGGTCCCCAGAAGACAAGGTTTGTGTCTTTATGAAGTATAAGCAAGAGGAAAAGTTGTCATACATTTGTATTTCATGTCAATGATAAGAAATTGGTTGAGAGTTACAACACAAGAATATCATTTCTATTATGCCTCTATAAAAGGGGTGAAATATAGGAGAGGAATTCCTACTAGAAAAACTTTAATATCTATGTAAGGTAAAACAATTATACAGGTAGAACAGGTAATTATGAAAGTAATGCCTTACAGGTAGAACTTTACCTATGTAAGGTAAAACATTCCCCACAGGTAGAAATTGTAATTATCAGTGTACCACTATAAAGTGTATAAACCTGTGGTATTTCACATGAATTTTTTATAATGTATTTGAGATATGTATCATTAAATGTAAAAAGCCAAACAACACTTCACTACACATCGTAACATACACAAATTCACAATCTTCTGATATTGGGTTTTGAGCGAGATTCTTACAGCACTTGACAGAACTGACCAAGCACTATGTGTATGGATTTCAAGATGTAAACCAAACATGTCAACCTCTTGCCAACATTTCATTAGCGAATAACTCGAAAGAATTTACTGATAACAGTTTCTTATAACAATTAAGCCACGCCAATGATCAATGGCAGGGGAAATCGTTAACTTGTGTTGGTGATGACTACACGATAAAGGAAGTGTGACTTCAGTGTTGGTCCTACTCCTACAGACTTCATGTCACCACAGTGTAAATTTAACCCTGCTCCCTGAAGTTTGAAACTATCCAGCTGTCTCTTAGGCATTTCCTTACGTAGAGGTAAAACAGAACTAGTTCCGATGGTATATGGTAACATAACATCGCATGTCCCACTTGGTGACTTATAACCAAGGCGACAGTCTCATTCTATTCCAAACGTGCTCGTTTCTTCCACAGCCGTCACCAACTTCTCAAACAGCATGTCAAAGGAGGTGTAGGTAGGCAGATCTAGTCGGTTGAAACATGTGTGGGCCCTGCAGAACAAACAGACAGTATTAGGCAGGTAAAATGTAGGGGTGGTCGGGTGGGGATCAGATGTAAAAGGTTTGGGGTCACCTGCCCGACCACGTGGGTTTTCTCTGGTACTCGGTTGGGGATCAGATGTAAAAGGTTTGGGGTCACCTGCCCGACCACGTGGGTTTTCTCTGGTACTCGGGTGGGGATCAGATGTAAAAGGTTTGGGGTCACCTGCCCGACCACGTGGGTTTTCTCTGGTACTCGGTTGGGGATCAGATGTGGTGAAAAGGTTTGGGGTCACCTGCCCGACCACGTGGGTTTTCTCTGGTACTCGGTTGGGGATCAGATGTAGTGAAAAGGTTTGGGGTCACCTGCCCGACCACGTGGGTTTTCTCTGGTACTCGGTTGGGGATCAGATGTGGTGAAAAGGTTTGGGGTCACCTGCCCGACCACGTGGGTTTTCTCTGGTACTCGGTTGGGGATCAGATGTAGTGAAAAGGTTTGGGGTCACCTGCCCGACCACGTGGGTTTTCTCTGGTACTCGGTTGGGGATCAGATGTGAAAAGGTTTGGGGTCACCTGCCCGACCACGTGGGTTTTCTCCGGTACTCTTCCCACATTACGACCCCCTGCGCTAACATCCAGGAAGAGTGTCTCCCACCCCTCTCCTGTGGTAAACTATAGAACAGACCTTAGTAAGCCAGAGATAATAGAAACTTTCACCTCTTTGGGCATGAGATAGGATAATCTCAATCCGAGATTCTGCATCTCAACTTAATTAAGGGGGTGAAATATTCTTTTTCTCTAAGCCCCTTGACCCTGTCATATGCTTAATGTAACATTGACATTAAGGGCTCAATGCATTGTTGACGTGATGTCATACAATTGTTTTGACATGGGAATCTCTCTCCCCCCCCACCCCGTCTCAACCCTAGGGTGACTGTAAAAGACTCTTTCATTCCCAGGGGTGTAGGATAGGGAAATTCCACCCGAGGGGTTTTCAAATTTGAAAGTCCTGAGGGATTATTTCTGATAAAATATTTTACATTTTACAAGAGAGAGTATTTTTCTCTCACTCCAACCACCAGATTTAGCTCAGAAACCATGAAAATGGGTTTGGAATGGCTTCCATTTTGAAAATAGTGACTCTTTGTAGTCAAGTAATTGGATGCCTTTTCTCTGTACAAACCAGGGTAAGCTAGTCATCAGATGCCATTTCTCTATACATACTTAAGTAGACTAGTCATTGGACACAATTGTTTGGTACATACCTAGGTAGGCTAGTGACTCGACCCCATTTCTCTATACAGAACTTCCTTGGTCCATTACTTCCCCGCAGAGCAGAGAAACCTTCATAAGGTATACTGGAGGTACCTGTTACAAACTGAAACAGAACAGAGGTCTTTGAAATGTATAATGGAGGCATCTATCACAAATTGAAACAGTACAGAGAAAAACATGTTCCTCCTTCCACACAATGAAACTCGCACCAATTATATATATAAAATGAAGATATATTTTTGCCTAGCAAACTTTTCAAGTTGCAAATGAAATTGTGACTTCCATTGAAGAAATTCCTTAATATCTTAGTTCTAGAATACAAAAACTTAAAAATACAAATCAAGAAATCATCAACTATTAATTAAGAATATTTTGAAATCATGGTTAACCAATAAACATACTTTAAAGAAAGGAATATTATCTTGGTACAGATCTAGGGCACAAGAATTTACCTGTAGGAGTCGAAGTCTCCTTTCATTGTCAAACTTTTCTATGGCTGTCCAGAACCACTGCACCACAGGGTGTTGATCATGATAGCCTACACAACAGCATGGAAATACAAATTATATCACTGTACACAATACATGTATAAGACTTATTACAAAGATGCAAGCAAAATCGTAAGTGCCTTTCATCCGATCTTCGTTACACCACGTTTTAACTTTATAAGATCTTCAGTAGATGACCAGTCTGTAATTGTTTAAGTTGATTTTACTGTTGATACCTGTTTTAGAGGACTAACATGTAGTCAGGTTAAGTTTTCCTAGAACTTCCAAGTTATGTGAGTAATGTTAGAGTCAGAACTGGCCAAAAGCATACATCTGGGACAGACAATAAGGGTAGCCAGACAATCTGAGACCAGCACAACCTCCAGCTTGACTAGTGGTCCTAGATTGTCTAGTCAAAATTTGATATTGCTTATCTTGTTTAATAATAATGAGTTAGTACAATTTACACATGAACTAGTAAAAATTGGAAACTACTACCCCAACTGACTTGTAGTATTCAAAATTAATTTTTAGTCCTGTTGCATACCAGATCTGTACTCAGTATTCCTCCTCCAATCATGGACATCTATTTCTACTGTTCCAGCTATCACCAACTCTAGTTCCCGTGCATCGAACATGGACACAAGGCGACCATCCAGGACCTACAAACATGAACAAAGCAAAACCATGTTTACCCTGCCATCTTCTGGACAAAGAATTCATTACATATACATGCATGACTGCTTTCTACAACATAGCAAAGCTTTCAACTGTATAACCTGCCTGAACCTTGTGTAGACTGTGTGTACATAGTTGTACAGTGTGTGCATTACTCAATACATAGGCATGGCCTAGTCTGTCCACGCGTGAATGTTTACGTCACACCTGAGTGAGAGTGGAGAGTATGGACATCGAGCACCAGTGACATACATTGTGTTCATTACTCAATACATAGGCATGGCCTAGTCTGTCCACGCGGGTATGTTTACGTCACACCTGAGTGAGAGTGGCGAGTATGGACCTCGAGCACCAGTGACTGTGCATGCCTCTCGAGTATTCTCGTAGGTGCATGCACGGCCACATTTCCTCACACACAACAACCCCTCATCCTATCACTCGCAGCTAGGGCACAGAGCGGGACTGTCATGTACAGCTGATACCTGGTAAGACAGACTAACCATGGTGATACAACTGTATTTAGTGTAACCCTTTTAACATTTGTATCTAACTAAATGATAACTTCTCTATTTGGAATCATTTAGTTAATAATATATATTAAGACCTACAATTGTTTATTACGTAGACTTAAAAGCATTTATATTGTAGGCTTCATTTATACGGTATAAAGAAACAAAAGAATCCTAACAAGCGTTAGAGCTTACACTTGGAAACTGCATAAACCTACAATCATGCCCTATTATTTAGGGCTACCTGGACAACGGAATTGTCCTGACCCAACTGTTCTACAGCTATATCCAAAACGAAATTAAGGGGAGGTTACTGTAACATGAACAAGAGTACCGCGGGGCGGAACAATATACGCCCATCGAATGCTATATAGTGTTATATACTTTCTTACATTGAAATAAGATCTGCATCATTCTAAGAGTGGTTAGCTGACATGCTATAAAAATGTAGGAGAAAATCTCTGGACAAAAATCAAATCCTGAAATAAACAAAGGGCAATAACTTTTGCAAAAATTGTTGAATCAAAATTCTTTTCAAGGAAACACAACATATCATGATTATTTAGCCTAGGTTTTCAAAGAAATCCGTCAAAAAATGTAGGAGGAGATCTCTGGACAAAAATTAAATACTGAAATGAACAAAGGGCAAAAACTTTTGGAAAAATTGTCGAATCATAATTCTTTTAGGAGACACAACTTCATATCATGATTGTAATGTATACCAAGTTTCAAAGATATCGGTCGAAAAATGTAGGAGGAGATTGCCGGACAAACAAAAGTTTACGCCGGACGGACGACACCATACCATAATACTCCTGTCAAAATTTGACAGGCGTATAAAAACCAGAGTGCAGTGGGACAGGGATCCTTGAGTCAGTATTATGCGGAGTCTCAGATGAGCTGGATGTTTCAATGCTCACCTCGTGGAAGCCACGGATGAGTCCCTCAGTCTGCTCCGTAACTCCTCTCTCCAATCTCCACTTTACCATCCTCTCAATATACTCTTTCTTATTCTTCTCTGTCACAGCCAAGGTTTTCCCATTTAGCTTCAGTTCTCTCTCAGTCACCTGTAATCAAACATGGTATTAAACGAGGACTTAATCTACAGCCAGCCTCTCTGTCACCTGTAATCAAACGAGGACTTAATCCACAGCCAATCAACAACTGTGAAAATTCCCATGTAAACATTTGCACAAAGTAAAGTTACACACTGTAATTGGATTTCAAACAATTTCCCGCAAAATTAAAAACAAAGTGAGCATGGGCTCACCTAGATATACCCCACCCCATGATTCCTAAATACACCAGGATTTTACTTCAAAAGTCAGTCAAGTGTAACCTCTGTCAGCAATAGAAATGTGTGTTAAATAAGGACCGTGACAATATTTGCTAAAATATTCATTATTTATATTTACATTGTGATAGAGTAGTTTTGCTTTATTTAGTTATTTCGAACAGCTTTTTGAACAGAAAATTTAAGTGTTGAAAACAATGAAATTGATGACATCACAAAGATATTGATGATGTTACAATAGCAAATGTTGTTATAGTCTCATAACATCATTTGCCTTCTCAATGCATTACAATGAAAGGATGAAGAGCAATTGTAAATATTGAAGGACACATTGAAAAGGCAATCGATATACAACTCCTCTGCCTTAACTAAGTGAGGGAATAATTTATTTTCAATCTGTTTGAGCTCTTATAGTCTATTTGCCCTTTGATCCAGACTCCCAAAACAAGACAAGTGTGGTAAGTAATTTGTACTGATTGATGTAGTGGAGTACATGTATAGCAGAGCTACTCACCTGTCCAAACACTTCCTCATTGACTGAGAAGGTGAGGTCCATATCTAATTCTGTAATGTCGTTTTCTTTCACCCACATCAAGCTCTGATGGAATTCAGCGTCCAGCGCCTCAACATCTCCTAGTGACCACGAACTGTAACCACATAAAGTCATCAATAAACACACATCATGGCCATTTGTCATACATGGTGATTCTTATAAAGGCTGACATTCATTACACATACTGAACATGTCCATGGTACTAAAGAATAACAACCTTCATTGCATTTCTGGTGGTTTTCTCTTTTTTTGGTTTCTTTTTACCTTTATATATTCAAGCCATGTCAATCAAACCCAGCCTACCTATAGCTGAACATTCACAATCACAAACTTACACTTGCAGTATTGCCTTGAAGATTTTACACTTACACTCGCAGTATTGCCTTGTAGAATTAACACTTACACTCGCAGTATTGCCTTGTAGAATTAACACTTACACACGCAGTATTGCCTTGTAGAATTAGCACTTACACTCGCAGTATTGCCTTGTAGAATTAACACTTACACTGGCAGTAATACCTTGTAGAATTAACACTTACACTGGCAGTAATGCCTTGTAGAATTAACACTTACACTCACAGTATTGCCTTGTAGAATTAACACTTACACTGGCAGTAATGCCTTGTAGAATTAACACTTACACTCGCAGTATTGCCTTGTAGAATTAACACTTACACTCGCAGTAATGCCTTGTAGAATGGTCGGGTGAAGAAAGCATCCAATAAATACTGATGAACAACAGCGAGTCCCAACACTCGACCAGCGAAGCGGAACCTGAAGATAGAGGCAGACATGGTTAAGCATTGCCAAAGCATCTATTAGTACCATCACTGGTTTAGATTAACAGAACAATAAAATGAAGAGAGAGGCAGGCATAGGCAAACGCTGCTAAATTACTTACTGTTCAGCAACAGAATAATTAAGCAGTTACCATAATAGGTTAATGAAAACAACACTGAAGTAGAGTAGAAACTTGAGTCAAGGCATGCATATGTGTCAGAAAATCTGAAATCACGTGTTGAAGACAGATTTAGTTATTTATATCTGAAACTGCAGGCAACATAAAAAGAAAACCAAAATTAACTGCAGGAATTGACAAAAAAAAAGTGATAAATGATATATATATTTTATTTGTTATATATGTTTGCATAATGTAAAACTTAAAATTCTAGTGTATGGAAATGAGGTCAAAAGCCCTTCACCATTGTCTGCTAAAGATTAATTTCAATCTTTTGGCATGTCCCTCTGCTCCTAGCAGGCCACACCCTTTATATATTTCAAACAACAATGAATTCCCTTGGCCAAGGGATTATCCAGTAGCCAAAAACCCTTCAGCAGTTTTGGACAAGTAGCCTTTTAAAGTACACAACATTTCACCACGACAAGCTCCCTTTGCCTTTTGGACCAGTGGAGTTGACTATCATAGTAGCTTGATTTAATCAACTTTCATGATTATTCTCCACTGAAAGTATCATACGAAGGTAGCTGATTTACTGACCATGAGATTCTTATCAACCATAGTTTGATACACAGGTAGCTTGATTTACTCACATCTCAAGATTATTTTCCATTTACACTATCTAATATATGCAGTCATCTTGATTTACTCACAAGTCAAGATAAACTATTTTCATCACAGTAACTACTGATTTACTCACTACTCGAGACTATTTTCCATAGTTTATTAAATCAGTATTTGGTTTACTCACTACTCGAGACTATTTTCCATAGTTTATTAAATCAGTATTTGGTTTCCTCACCACTCGAGACTATTTTCCATAGTTTATTAAATCAGTATTTGGTTTCCTCACCACTCGAGACTATTTTCCATAGTTTATTAAATCAGTATTTGGTTTCCTCACCACTCGAGACTATTTTCCATAGTTTATTAAATCAGTATTTGGTTTCCTCACCACTCGAGACTATTTTCCATAGTTTATTAAATCAGTATTTGGTTTCCTCACCACTCGAGATTATTTTCCATAGTTTATTAAATCAGTATTTGGTTTCCTCACCACTCGAGATTATTTTCCATAGTTTATTAAATCAGTATTTGGTTTCCTCACCACTCGAGATTATTTTCCATAGTTTATTAAATCAGTATTTGGTTTCCTCACCACTCGAGATTATTTTCCATAGTTTATTAAATCAGTATTTGGTTTCCTCACCACTCGAGATTATTTTCCATAGTTTATTAAATCAGTATTTGGTTTCCTCACCACTCGAGATTATTTTCCATAGTTTATTAAATCAGTATTTGGTTTCCTCACCACTCGAGATTATTTTCCATAGTTTATTAAATCAGTATTTGGTTTCCTCACCACTCGAGATTATTTTCCATAGTTTATTAAATCAGTATTTGGTTTCCTCACCACTCGAGATTATTTTCCATAGTTTATTAAATCAGTATTTGGTTTCCTCACCACTCGAGATTATTTTCCATAATTTATCAAATCAGTATTTGGTTTCCTCATCACTCAAGATTATTTTCCATAATTTATCAAATCAGTATTTGGTTGACTTACCACTCGAGATTATTTTCCACCACAGTAGACATAGGACTAATTTGTACGGTGTAGGTGTCGTTAGCAGAATACTCAAACAGACCGTAGTAGGGATTGAAGAGCTCACGTGACAGGAGGAAGAAAAACTCTCTAGAAGGGCCTCCATAGTCTAACCTGTTGAGGTACATATAAGTCATATTTACTACATATTCTGTTTAAAAGATGAGGTTTACACAGAAATCTTAAATGTATTAACCTTATAATGCATTTAATATCACACAAACAGACAATTTTTAACAGTTGTTATTATAAGAGTAAATCAGATTTTATTCAAGGTTGCATATGTTATTTCATATTAAAACATTATTGGATTGGAAACAAAATTTTAAGAGGAATTACAATTGAATTCAATTTTCCACTGACAATCCACTGAAAAACATGAATTTCTTTTGAATTCCACAGTTGAGATATCAATGTCAGTGGAATTTGTGGAACAATAGAATTACAAACACATACCCTTCCTCGCCCACAAATGTGATGTACAATTTACTCTTCATCAGCTCCTTTTTGGGAGTAGACATGATCTTGTTAAACGAGTCTTCTAATACATGATCTCTCCTCACCATCAACCTGGTCAAAATAAATTGTATATAACTGTAACAGTCAAAACCTGTCTGTCTCGGCATATTGTTTTTGTCACAATCTAATCTGTATAAACATTTTTTTCTCCTGATTTTAAAACATTCCATATTTTAAATCAAGACATATTTCAATATATTCATCGAATACCATGTATGTTGGTTTTGGTTGTGAATACTGTGTATGTTTGGATTCTTTAAAGCAGCTGCTTGGATATCTATAAAGGTGTAACAGGTCATGAGGAGAAGGAGAAATGCCAGAATTTAAACCTGCGACTTTCTGAACTCTAGACGGAAGCTCTAACCAATTGAGCTACCAGGTTGTTAACAATCCACCCAGTCTAGTTCTGCTACAAAGGTAACAGATGGGCAACTAGTGTTCCCTAATACTTGGTAAATATATTTCTACCACAATACGCTGTGTTATTCCACTCTCAGATCATTGTATAAACATGCAGACTTTTGGATAAATATGAGTGATATATCACACGTGGTATATGACCTTCCGTAGTTTTGATTTGTCGAGAAGATGAACTTTGACCGGACAATTTTTTTCACACGCTTTTTGCCGCATGTTGTTTTGTTAACGTCGTCTGCTGTCAACATCCGGCAAATGTTGGTGACTTTTGTGAGGTTATGCGACGGGAAAAGGGGTTATTAAGGCAGCAAAATAAGATGATGCTTAAAGATTTGATCGCTTGTACCAGGCAAAATTGCTACAGACGTTCAATATCTTTTCGATGCAATAACGTCGCGTGTCCAGGTCATGAAACCCAGAGACGTAATATGCCCATATATGTCTCTGTGAAACCCAAACAAGATCTGTAACAGAGACGGGAAATATTTCGCTCTCTCTATGTCCAGTTATCAATATTTGGAGGGCCTGTCTATGGCGGAACTCTCACTATAAACGTCAACCATCGAACATCACGAAGAAACGTCCCAGGACTATGGTTTTGGACATAGACAGCGATTACCTAGTTTGTCTTCATCACTTGGCGGGAGGCAGACTTCGTACGGTATGCTTACGCGCATATAGTCCGTGGTTAATTTATATTAATTAATGCAATATTGCATACTCTCAATTTTTAAAGTCTTTCATCTATTTTATTTTTTCACGAAGTTGTTGCCGAAACATTAATTTTGAAAATTATTAAATTTGTAAAAAAAGTCATTTTTGAATATTAATGAGTGACTTTTTACATATGGGTCATATCACTACGCCAGCCTTGTCAACAAAATGTGTGTATGCTATTCAAATCAGGAATACTCCAGATATTGTGGTAGAAACAGATCACACGACTTGTGGTTGTTTAGTATGGTATTTATTTCACTCACGTTAGTTAATTTTCAAACGTTACAGAAAGACACTCGCTAAAGCTCGTGTCTTTTGTAACTTTTGAAAATTAACTAACTTGAGTGAAATAAATACCATATTCAACAACCACTCGTTGTGTAACCTCTATTTATCAAATCATATTATAAAGTAAAATCTGGTCTGGTAATGACATTTTCAAAGTTATACTTATTTCTTTGAACTATCCCACATGTAACTTCTGTGAGATACAAGTTGAGGAACAGAACAATTTTGAAATCCCATCTTACTTTAACTTGGAAGGCCCCTGGCCATATCCTTTGGACTCTAACTTCCTGTAAAAACTTCTCAGTTTCGCTTGGAAATCTCGTTTGTACGGAGCAGGTACTCTTACGTTGGCTCTCTGAACAACTGGAACAAAAAGGGCAAACAAAACTCCCCATTCTTAAAAGGCAATTAATACCTGTACATAAGGGTTAAGGGTCATCTATTCTGACAAAAGCAACTAAAACAAACCTGAAATTGTTTTATAAGTTAGCATTAATTTAACGAAGGGAAACACCAGAATTCAAAAACTTTGTGTTGGATTTTTTTTTATACACATTTTCAGATTTTAATTTGATTTGTTAAAATTCAGTTGTCTAAAAATTACATCTTTACTGCACAAAATATGTTACTCATGAGTCAAGCTAATGATATCTATCTGGTAAAGATATCATATGGACAGAATGAAACACAGTGTCAGAAACCTTTATAAAATTGTAAATGTTTAGAGGCATTGCAGTTGTAAAATGATATGAAAATGGTATTAGGTATGATTATGTTGATAAATATTATAAACCTGTAATTATACAGTTATATCTTCAAACTTTAAAATGATACAACACACACAAGTCCCTGGAATGCTGACCCCGTTACTATCCATCTTTACAATTCATTTTGGTAAAAACTCCGGCATATTTGAAAGTTCACCATCTTAATCATAGCAACAACCAATCTGACTTACACATTATCTAACATGTGCCGATCACTGTGTGGTAAACAAATGAGGATAAAGAGTTGAGAGTACTTACTAGGTGAGCCCTGTGGCACTGTGTGGTAAACAGATGAGGATAAAGAGTTGAGAGTACTTACTAGGTGAGCCCTGTGGCGTTTCCCCTGGTGATTCAGTCCTAGTGAGGACCAAGTGGGGAGGCACATATGACATTATGTCATTTTCAAATACACTGGAAAGAGAAATAGTTATAAAAACATACTGCATGTAAACAGAATGTACACAGGATATATAGGTTTCTATACAAATTAAACGAGAAGCCTAGAGAGCCTGTATTGCTCACCTGAATATTTAAGCAGTCATAAGAAAATGTTATCATTAAATGTTATCTGTGCTACAAACATTTCACTCGCAAACTCTGCCGGCTCCATCTGTTGAAACTACAAGCCAAATATTATTGTATGATTCTATGCTTATTGGTTCTTCTTCAGAAGTTGTTTGACTTCGGGCAGGTGAGCTACAAATATTTCACCATTATACATGTACACCACATTAATAGGAAAAGTTATTTTCAGATGGGTTTGTTTGGTTGTATATTGCTTAACGTCCTATTAATAGCTAATGTCACTTAAGGACATGCCTCCATGTGTGTTGTGAAAGCATGCATGTGTATATGTGTGCCAGAGACAAGGTAGGTTGGTGTATTTGCCTCCTTGTGATAGCGCGGATCTGTCTACAGCTCACCACATAATTCATTAAACAGTACAATACAATCAAGTACAGACCATAACATTTAACTTTCAAATGATAAAATATAGCAAAAGTGGAGCTTTACCTCAAAAGTAAAATGAGATCCATATCATTGCACATTTTGTCCAGGGCCTCTGTTCCTTCGGAGCGTATCCTGTTGATTCTGTCACGTAGACGGTGACTGCTAAAGCCCTGATACGTTTCCTTTAGAATGTCTGGCAAGTTTGGCTGTCTAAGGAAGGCCACAACCTTGTCGTTGTAGGCTAAAAAGTGAATAATATTTCATTGTAGGCAAAAAACAGTGAAAAACAAATATTTAGGCTAAAGAAAGAAAGGGTGAAAATATGCATATTATTGTTAACTAAAAGAAGACAAATATTTGAAGGTTTATTATAATTTAAATAAGAGAAAATCAGGTCATGAATGTAGACTAAAAAGTACCAGTAGTTAACATACATTGTTATAGGCTAAAAAGTACCGGTAGTTAACATACATTGTTATAGGCTAAAAAGTACCGGTAGTTAACATACATTGTTATAGGCTAAAAAGTACCGGTAGTTAACATACATTGTTATAGGCTAAAAAGTACCGGTAGTTAACATACATTGTTATAGGCTAAAAAGTACCGGTAGTTAACATACATTGTTATAGGCTAAAAAGTACCGGTAGTTAACATACATTGTTATAGGCTAAAAAGGGGAAAAAACACATATCGTTGCAGGCAAAGGAGGGACACATAATAGTTAAGGCTAATAATGAGAAATTTAATGAATCACTATACAGTGTATACTATAAGGGAGAAATCATAATTCACTGTTATATACTTAAAATGGAGATACATTCAACACAGAAATCTTTACGGAATGAGAAAGGGAGTTAATACATTTGAATGCAACCCACCAAGGGAGATGATCATATATAAGTTATAATGAAAAATAGTACACATTTTTGAGGGAAAATTGTCAATCAAAAGTCACTATAGAATAAGTACCATATACTTGGGATTTTTTTTCGCTCAGTCAAACTTTCACCTTTCACCCATGAAATCGATATTCACCAAGTGTTAACTTCCCCCTTCACATTTCATTACCATGTATATTATGCTGTTTACTTATATTTGCTGTAATGGTAATTTGCATTCATCATGGAGGGCGAAAAAGGCGAAAATTAAACTGCAGCGAAAATTTCCTAAAGTGAGGTATTAATGACCAAGCAAGTTGTAAGGAAACAAACAAAAAGTATATTGCAATGGGTGCAGCAGATTTATTTTGGTCGATTTCGTGTCCCCAAAGTAGAGGACACAAAAGCAAATCCCCAAATCTGCAGGTTAGTTGCCGTCGTCACTGAATGTTAATAATGTGTTAATAAGTAAGAGAGGGCAATAAGAGAGTTTTGTATTTACAGCGTACAAGTTAAGTAAGGGTAGGGTAATACAAAGCGCAGAGAAAGTGAAGGTAAATAAAGTTACTAGATTAAATAGATTAAATGTCATAATGATTGATACAACTGTAAAATTAAGGATTCACACATACATGTATTACAGTCAACTAATGCTGACTCACTTGTGGGTACATCTTCTACCTCCGTCACTGCCACGTGTCGCGGAGGGGGCGGAGGCTGTAAATAAGCAATGCATACGTAACAGAACGTAACATTCATTTACGCTTTCAATAAATAAACAAGAGGCCCATGGGCCTTAAACGGTCACCTGATATATTTATTTTGTTTTTAACATGTACAGAAATATTATTCAAAGTGACAAAAAACAATAAAACCACCTTATTCAATATCTAGCATACAGATTTAAGACTAAAAAGTACTTGAAACTAGCACCTCTGATTCTAAACAAGGAAAATGAAGAAATTTTAGCACACTGACTCCTTTGGGCCCCACCCTACAGCCCTTGGGGGTAGGGCTGGCTCAAAATTTTCAAAGTATCAAACTGTC